GGGAGCGGGAGGGAGTGGGTAGGAATCCGGACATGGGTTTGTGAGTCCCCATTAAGTCTGTGGCAATAAGCCTATACGTAGGTCATTTTTCGGCGACCAGGCGATCGGTGCCCTGGGTCTCCCCCTGCCCGCCCTCTCCACCCGCCCCAGCGCTCGGCCCACCTGCGGGTGGAGAAGGGCCTCCGCCCCGTCGGTCTCCCTGCATCCCACGCCAACGGCAGCTTCCAAAGTTCAGAGCCCTAACAGCCCTCTTCTCGCCTCTTGCTGCTGAGTCCAGAAGTCCGGGCGCTCTCCTTTTCCAACAGCCAGGCACCAGGGCTTTCAGAGGGCGAGCGAAAAACCGGTCGCTTCATCCTGAAAGGCAGAAGTCGAGAGAAATAATTGACTCCGACAGGTTTGCTTTGCCCGGGCTGGGATAGTAAGGGGCGCAGCCGGGCCGGCGAAGTGGGAAGGCGTGGGAACAGCTGCCGCGGGGGCGGGGGGCCGGTCAATAGGGCCCTACAACCACCGCCTCCACCTCCTTAGACGGTCTCCGGTCCTTCACCAGGAAGTTGATCATGCCTTCGGACTTGATGAGCAGGTTGCAGCCGAGGAAGAAGATGCCGAAGACGACGGTGAGCGACAGCACGCACATGACGGCGATCTGCACCACGCGCATGATGTACAGGCTACGCTCGTCTGGGCCGCCCTCGGCGAAGCCGTCGTCAGTCACCACGGACGCCTGGGTGCAGCAGCGCACGGCGCGCTCCAGCGCCTCGCTGCTGTTGGCCAGGAACAGGCCCGCCACGTCGGTCTGGTTGCCCAGCGCCGGATTCATCGCGGGAGCAGGCGGGCGCCCCAGGAGGCGCGGATCCGAAGGCTGGGAAGGCGGTGGCGCGGAAGGAACAGGTGCCCCGCTAAGTGCTCACTTGCAGATTTGAGCGCGCGAGTCTAGTCTTTATCTCCTTTCGAAAGTCCCCGGGCCGTGGGAGTTTCCCAGAAGCCTCTTCAACGCTCGCAGCAGCCCGGTTCCACTGCGCTGTCCCCTCCTGCCCAGGCGGTGCTTGTTCCCGGCGCTCGCTCGACTGGGGGCTGTTGGAACTTGGCGGGGCTGGGCCAGCCCGGCCGTGGGAGGTGCGGGCGGCGGCGGCGGCCCGGGCAGCTGCTCTAAGCGAACAGCGGCCTCTTCCGGCCACGCGGTGGCTCTGCAACTGCTCCCGTTGAACGGCGGAGGAAGCAAAGGAGCGAACCTAGTCTTGCTTTTCTTACCGCGCTTCTTTCCCTGTTCCACAGGCCGGGCAGAGGTCACTGCACTCTCCTGGCTTGATGGATGATTAAAGAGGTTGAAAGGGAGAAGTGGGGAGGAGTTGTGGCCAGCTGAAAGTTTCAGAGGAACTGGGTCACACCAGCTCTTCGTGTCCTTTGCCTTCTGCCCTTCTCACCTCGGAGTGCGTGGAAAGTGGCAATGAATCAATCGCAGGTGCCAGATGGTCCTTGCAAATGCTCGGTCCTTCTGCCTGTGTCTGCCTTCTCTCCTGTGTCGGATTTCTAGTGGAGTAGGGGTGAGTTGGAAGTTTTGTTTTTTTAAAAGCAGTGAATTTAGAAGGAAAAGAAGGATGAGACGGAGGGAGAGAAGATGGGAGTAAAGAAGGAGGGAAGAAGGCAGAAAGGAAGGTTAGAAAGAAGGGAGAGGGAGGAAGGAAGAGCCCCCCACCCTTCACAAAAGCGATTGGGAAACAGAGCAAGGAATTTTATAGTGATTTTTGAGGCTAAGGAAAGGAGGTTAGAGGAAGGAAGTGTCCTTTGGCCCTGAGGGGAGATGGTTGCCAGGAGCAGGGTCACCTCTTTGGAGGGAGGGAGAGGGGGGCAGAGTGGCCACTTGCTTGCAATCTTAATTGCAGATGAGTTTTTGGATATGCGTCTAGCGTTTCTGTTTGTTGACCTTAAATCACTTTCAGGGAATTTCTCATCAACATCTATCACCTAGAACACTGGCAGACTGCTGGAAGACCTCCCCATTTTCCGTAAGCTGATGCATCTCACCCTTAGTCATTTTAAACCAAACTACAGCTATTTTAGGGGGCTAGTTGAGGCTTCAGCCCATTCGTTATATTTTTGCTGCTGATTTCAGTGAAATTTTAATAAACCTCTCAGATTGTTTCCTAAGATTTAGAAGAACAGCTTTTTTCTCTTTCATTATTTACTTTTCTAACTTCCTTCTTCCCACCTTCCTCCTTCCCTCCCTTTCTTTCTTTAAGCTGTAACAGTTGGAAACCAGTAATTGAAAGCTCAAACTTTTGATAGAATGAACTTCCTAATTTTTTATTAAAACACAGTAGCTATCTTAGACCATTTTCAACTCTATTTGCTATATTGTATTTGCTTGTTCAACCCTCTTATTTTTTCCATGTTCAGAGATCTCAAATGTTTTTGCACTACTTCATGACAACCATAAAATAGAATGAACTGCCTTTTAGTAATATTTGAGTGCTGTGTGATAGGTTCATTGTATAAACCAAACCTGTTGCCTTAGAGTCGATTCCAACTTCAATAAATTGCTATTGTTATTTTGAGGAGATGTTAGAAGACTCAGGTTTCTGGTGCTTAACCATAGTTTACTTTTTTTTTTTGCTCTGGTTTCTCATGATTAGGTCAGCTGTGAAGAATGCCCCACTCAAACAATTTCCTTTGGAAAAATTTGTTATTGGAAATTGGGAAGAATTTACTTAAATCTCACTATAGAATCAGTCTATCTTAGTAAATATGGGTGATACTTAAGGATAATAAGACAATGCATATGTGAAAAAAATTACAGAAGAATTTAAGACAATATAAAGCAGCACTAAAACGAATGGTAGAAGCAAGTAATGCAATAGGAATTTAGAAAAGCAAGAGATCAGAGAATAGAGGCAGACTTCTGAGTTCTAAGAATGTCAGCTTGCATAGGGTCAGGTCTTGTGTTTAACGGAATTTGAGTGAGGATAAATAGGGAATAGCACCTTCTGTATGTGGTACAAACAAAAAGACAGACATAATTGGTAGTATACTTTTATGGTCCAGCATGGCCGGATCTGTGTTACAAATATTGCTAAAAATGTTAGGTGAATCATTATCAGAAATTGAGTATATTTATTGCTATTAACAGTATTATTGTTTTAGTAAGAAGTCAGCATTAAGATGATTGACCTTTGGAGTTCATAGGAAGTTTTATATCCAGTCAAACATTTAGATTTTAGGAGTATATTCTTAAAAGAAGTAAGGTGGTATGGATTGAATTATGTCCCCTCAAAGTATGTTTTGTAAGTCCTAACCTCAATGCCTGTGGTTATTGTTATGGATTGAATTGTGTCCTCCAAAAATATGTATGTCAACTTGGCTAGTCCGTGATTCCCAGTATTGTGTGATTGTCCACCATTTTGTCATCTGATGTAATTTTCCTAAGTGTTGTAAATCCTATCTCTATGATGTTAATGAGGCAGGATTAGAGGCAGTTATGTTAATTAGGTAGGACTCAATCTACAAAATTGGACTGTGCTTAAGTCAATCTCTTTTGAGATATAAAAGAGAGACAGGGAACCTCATACCACCAAGAAACAAGAGCCAGGAGAATAGCGCATCATTTGGACCCGGGGTCCCTGTGCTGAGAAGCTCCTAATCCAGCGGAAGATTGATTACAAGGACCTTTCCCCAGAGCCGACAGAGAAAGAAAGCTTTCCCCTGGAGCTGGCACCCTGAATTCAGAATTCTAGCCTTCTAGACTGTGAGGGAATAAACTTCTGTTTGTTAAAGCCATCTGCTTATAGCATTTCTGTTATAGCAGCACTAGATAACTAAGACAGTTATAATCCCACTTGAGAATGGGTTATCTTTGTAATGTTAATGAAGCAGAATTAGTATAGGGTATATCTTGAGTCCATCTCTTTTAAGATATAAAAGAGAAAAAAAAAA